AGAGAGAGAGAAAGCCGCGACGAGGAGGTCGTTGATCACGGTCGCCCGCGGATTCCCCCGACATCCGTCCGCCACAACCTTCGAGATCAACGAGCCGATTAAATTGGCCGATCTGAAATTAAGCTTTCACCAACATATAGAAGCTTAATTGGAGAAAAAAGCTTGATTTCCACCAGACCCGATGGTGTTGTTGCTTAACGAAGAAGATGAAGAGTCGGTGATGTTGCTTTACGAAGATGGAAAAAGATGAAGGAAAGTGGATTAGGGTTCTTGTTCTTGGTGCCAACACAAATTCACAAAACAGATGAAGAATAAATGAGGTTTCTATTGTAAAGTTAAATAAAAAATAGAGTAGAAAGCTTCAAAAAAGGATTAGTTGTTTAGTGTTCAAAAATTGAAACAAGGGCTCAACCATATCTTAATCTCAAAATGACGAGAAAAATACCACTACTCATCGCCTCATCCCCTATATCTTAATCCAGAACGCGCTGAGCCTACGTGGCTGCTTCTGGTGCTTCGGATCCTATGTGGCAAAATTACATGCTTCGTTATTAGGCTTGGGTAAATTTTAATTTAATTCCAAACCAAAAATAATTAGGTTCGGATTACCATAAATATGTTGATTATTTATGGTCATGTTACATATATTAATTGCATTTTAATATCATTCCTTAGTATAACTATTGAATTGTATATATATTTTAAAAGTTAATAACTTTTGTATTTTTTATCAGTTTTACACATGTAATATATCAAATTAATCTTCTTTTGATGAGTTTCGATTTAACATCCATATTGTATATATAAAAAAATAATTTATATTTTCCTTTATAATAATAATAAAATTATTTTTAATATTAACTAGAAAAATAAAATTATTTATCAACTAATATATTTATATTTCAAATAGTTATATGATATAAGTTATAAAAACTAATATAATATAACACATGTAAGTCATAAGTAACACATATCATTTTAAAATATATAGTAATATATTTTTTTTTTGTAAAAAAGTAAACTAAATTTAATATAGTTTTCTCATTAATTTTAAAATTTAAGAATAATTTTTTAACAAGCACCCGTGTAATACACGGGTGTTGTACTAGTTACCTTCTAATCAGAACATTGTCGGTTTACCAGTCTCACTCCTTCTAAAGAAGATGCTACCGTTATTATAGTCTATTCTCGTACCACCGTTACTAGATAAGTTAGTTGAAGTTGTATCACAAATTTTATTGCTTGCATGTTAGCAATATATTGTTTTATTAGTTGCGTTTACCACAAAACCCATAATCTAATTATATTTAAACTAACTTCTATATATTAAATTTAAGCGTTTTAATCCTTCAATGAATTTGTGAGTCTTTTGTGTGTATTTAATTGGTAAGAAGTGAAAAATTATCAAAATGACGAGAAAAGTAAACACTAGAATTTTTTTTGCTCGAAATCGGTTCGGTTTTTCGATATAAAGCCGATATGGAACCGAAACCGAACAGAGTTTTCGGTTACTGAATTTTCAGTAACCGACTTTCATCGGTTCAGTATCGATTTTTCATTCTGAGGTTATCGACATTATCGGTACGATAACACAATAGTGAAAGTTGTTAATAATTGATCGGGCCTTTTTATTTTAACGGGCTAGAAATGTTCGAACCAAACATCTTTATAGTCATGAAATAATAATAACAATAGGTAGGATATCAAGCCCAATCCAGCCAATCAAACGGACCCTTAATATAAAAACTTGCAAACCGCAAAATTATTCATAAACAATAAACTTAATAGAATACTTGCAAAATGCAAAACTAAAATGAAATTTGTCGGTGATATAGGCATAATTTCTCTTAGTAAAGATTAAACATATGATATGCATCCAACAATCTTGATTAGTTGGGTTCAAAATGTTGAGTCCGGCTCAATTGTGGACTTGGACTAAATAAGGGCTAAAGTCTATTGTCATCTCAAATGCAAAATAATGAAAAAAAAAAAGGTTTTATAACCTATCTGGTAAGAACGCAGACAAGCAGCAAAATGAATAGAAGACAAACAAATCAATAAAAAACACCACAAATATCCCCTTCACGTCAGATACGAACAGACAACCCAAACGTCCTCAAAATGAATGATTTAAGCGGCCTACGAGTCCCGTGGTTTTTTACCCAATTCGAGGTTTTCCACGCTAAAAATCTTGTGTCATTTTATTGCTTGCTTGATCGTTGTTTGGTTTCTCTTGCTGTTGTTGATTGAACTTGGTGCTTTATTATTTAGTTAAAATCGTGGTTGTATTTGGTGGCTTTAATCACAACACAAAAACCTATATAAATTGTGATCCTTTATCATCCCGTTTCATTATGTTCGTATTTACATATCGTTTGTTGCTGTACTGTCACAACTTATCTCCACTGTTCTAAAAGTCGGCCTAGGCGGCCGTCTAGGCGGCGCCTAGACGCTAGGCGGTGCCCGGGCGCCTCCGATTTGCACAAAGGCGGCTAGGCGGCGCCTAGGCGGCCCTATGCGCTCCTAGGCGGCCTAGGCAGGCTCAGCGGCCAGGCGGTTAGGCGGCGCCTAGGCGGGCGTAGGCGGACCTAGGCGCTCTTAGGCGGGCTCGGCGGCAATTTTTCAGTTTTTTTTTTTTTTAAATACTAATTACATTATTTTATTCTCATGTTTTCTTTAAAATATATTAATATTATTATTTGGACTTAGGTGTGTCGATTTATTATAAGTTGAGATACTTTTATTTTGTTAGTAGTTGAATAAATAAAAAATAAGGTATTTAATATTGAT